TATTATTATTATTATTATTAATTGTAAGTTAATACAAACAGTAAATCTTTCATAGTAGGCTATTTATAAGATGACCATGAGCACCCTTGGTGTGTAAAGAAACTGATTATTTACTTTGTTGTTGAACACATAACTCAGACACCTGAGGCTCGTTGTCAGAGGAGCCTGTTTTGAGTGTTGAGCTTAAAAAAAAAAAAAAAGGAAATATAGCTTTTTGGACAAGTACAACTCCTGTGGTCACCTGTGTCTTATAGTTGCAACAAAAAATACTAATATAAATGACTGAAGTCATTCGTTCCAGTCTCTGCATGGAAATGACACCAATAATTATCGGGGCCACGATATAATTATCTCATGGCCACGCAATAATAAAGGTGGCCATGAGAAGTGTATCTAATGTCACTGAACAGGCTCAGTAGAAACTATCTTCACATCATCAATCCTTTGTTTTCCCTCACCTGTTTGTTTCCTCCAGTGTCTTCATGTTGACTGGTTGTTTTCAGGCTGAGTTGGGGATGATGTTTGGATTCTCGCTTCAGACTGGATTTTTTGATTGTATCTGGACTGTTGGTGCAGTCATCCTCGATGAATGTTTAGCTTACTGTGTGTGTGTACCTGTCAGTTCTGCTCCTCAGAAGTTAGGAAAAGCTCATTTGTGGGAGTTTTATTGTTTAACGTGTTTTCTCAGAGAGGGCTTGTTTTTAATCAGAGCAGAAAATCTGTCGTTCAGGACAGTTTTAGGTCTTGTTTTGTTCGCRTGGGATTTGTTAAATGCGCATTAGTTTGTGAGGCTGGAGTTTAGTGAACGACTGCAGGAGTGYGTTGATCACAGCTTTGCATTATTGAAGATTTTCTGATCCGTTTAAAGCCTGTAAATAAGTTTGGACTTACCACGCTTACTGCTCTGCACACAGCTTCTGCTTTTTAAGTACTTTTTTTTTCTGACCTGAAAAAAGAAACAGATTTTGCTAAATTTTTTATCACACTAACATTGTTTTACTGTGAATACAGTTTTTCTAGAGCAATTTTGGCATGCCATCTTACAGACGTTTTATTTAAAACACTGTTTTTAGTAGTTAATACTGCTTTAGATTTAACGTAAAAACAACAAACTTTAATTTATTTTTTTTTTCATTGTGGATTTGTCTTTTTATTTATGCATTTCTTTGACTTAGAACAGAATGAATTGTCTTTTATACTCCTAAATAAACTGTGGATTGAAGCTCAAGGTTAGTTTTTGTCTGATTATTGAACATAAAGTTATTTTCAATACTCTGGTTTAATAGCTGTACAAGAGCAGTTGTTTGGTTGGAAACTAATACATCCTTACTTTTTCAAAGCATTTACATCCACACAGTTTATAAATYACCAGCAGCAGAATATAAAAGGTTTTTYTCTTACTTTTCAWGAAGAACATGTCCTCTTTTGTGACCAAAAAGTGTAGTCCATAATATCCAAAATGGCGGCCRAAACTCAGCAGCAATCCTCTCTTCTAAGACATTTTTTATCACAAAAAAATCACTCGTCTTGAAGCAGTCAAAACACTTTGCAATAATTATATTTCTTATTTCACAGCCGTTTTGGTCAGCTTTTTACAGAGCCCACSAGGGGACATGGGKTTTTTGCGTTCCCATGCAAAAGTTGTTTAACACTGTTGTGCCTGCCGGTTTATTAACAAACTCACTTTTACCATTAGCGAGTTAGCCTACTGCTTTAATTCAGCTTCAGACTGAATATATCACACAGACACGCATGGAAGTATGTCATATGCCGATATTTTTACACAGTGCAGCCACACATTAATGTCAATTTCACGAACTTGTGGCGAGACATCCTGTTTTGGTAACCGGATATTTCAAAAATAAAAGTCCGATTTAATTCAGTTCATATACAAAACTCTAAAGCAGTGTCTCCCAAAGTTGGGGTCGGGACCCAAAGTGGGGTCCCGAAACA